TATATATATACATATATATGTGGATATTTGTATGCATATCAGTTGGACGAAGAACCACCCGGACTCTTCGCCTTTTTGGCAGACTTGAGTCGAAAGAGCTCCTTGAAGCTGAGCGTGGGTGAGGTACTCTTTGGCTTTTCAGACGCGCTGGTCGACTCTTCGTTACCCTGTCCTGTCATAGAGACACACGAAGACGAGGGTCCTCCTGCTGCTGTAAGATATCGCTTGTCAAGCTCTGTTTTCGAATCTCGGCTGCTGAATGAATAACGCGAAATACCATCCACGAATTTGAGATTGGGTAGAACTTGGAGTATATATTCGCGAGCATAGGTGGTGGGTGAGCCAGGGCCATGATTTTTGAACGCCGTCTGGATACCTGGATTGCCCATGCAGGAAAGCTGCTCGAGCGCGGGGCAGTGTCGCTCTATTCGGTGAATCCAGTCTGTTATGTTGCAAATATCGCAGTTATTTATCCTGGAATATCGATATCATCTATATACATATATTCTTGTGTGTATAAAAATATCTTCACTAACCATAAAATTTTCAAGTTGAGCATATAGGGGAAGGTATTCACATCTAAATTACTATTGCGATCCAGTATGAGCGTGTGCAGTTCCTCAAAAAACATAAGAAACTTTAGGTTCCGGAAGTTGTTGTAGCTGAGATCGAGGAACTTGACGTGTGCAGCAAACTTATCGGCTAGTCTTCGTGGAATGGTGCACAGATTTTCGTACGCTAATGAGACGCGATTGTCCTCCTCGAGAACGATGTCGGTGAAGCCATCTTCGCTACCGCAGGTGCTATTCGATATAAATCCATTGAATGAGTACGGATCGGGAGTAATCATATTCTCTGCCGTGGCGTACGTGTCGTTTATGTCGTTGTCCAGCTGAGCGCACGGAGACAGCGATTCCAGTGACTGAATGTTGGCACAAGCCTTCAAGATCTCTTGCAGGCGACAGTTGTTACTGGCGGAGCATATGGGACGACCTATAAATTGAGATTATAGTTCAACGAATGGAAGTGATAATAGCTACCTAGAAAGATCTTCGGAATGAGAGCGGCCAGACGTCGATGTTTCGGACATTACTGAGCCAACTGAAACTTATATTACTAAAAGCAAATCTATATTTATATACGGCACTTGTTTTCCCTCTGATTTGATTCTCATTTATCAACTGCCTCGCTTGGCTGTGAGTTCGTTGGGCTCCAGGTCCAGTGCTTGCAGCTGACTGGAAAAATAATCACACACCACTCGTACTCGACACAACAATAGCGGAGCAAGTGACAAAAGATTTTCGAGTCTTTCAGAGAAAGAATACAAATGTAAATATACACAGAAACATGTGTGTGTGTGTGTGTGTGTGTGTGTGTACGTGTGTACGCAATCAAACATGTATGCAAACTTATTACGAATGTGTGCATCAGTGCTGAGAATATAGCTTTTTCCTCTAAAACTAAAATTTTGTTTTTATTTTGTAACCCAATATTTTGCCTGGATTTTAGTATACAGTATAATCCAGTTATGACTGCTATTCTATATGTTTATAGCTGCTTCCGCAAATATATACATATATTTTAGTCAATAGAAATTTCAAATACTTAAATTTTTTTACAAATTTGAAATATGTATAAACATATTCTTAAATCTTAAATATAATAATTATATATCTTACATATTTTTCAAATTATAAAAATTCATATATCTGTAATGGTCTTACGATCCATAGGTGGCAGCACAGGCAGCTATTTATGCACACCTCTGCTTATGTACATATGTATAAATATAATCACAATTATCATAAAAACATTCCCACAAGCATATTTACACAACACAACCCATAGCAATAGGAGGAAAGCACCTGATTAGGGGCATTTCGTCTTTGTCTATATGGTTTCTGCGTAGGCTCAAATATTTAGTGTATCTTATCTAGAATCCCCAATTTAGGCTTATTGTGGACTCTTAAACTACCACAATTCGGCAGGCTGATTGTGGTTAGTCTTCTTTATAAATAAACGTGATATGATACAAAAACACTCACTCGAGCTTGATAAGGCTGTAAGCTAGCATTCATACCTATGGAATAGATCTTCTTCTGGGGTCCTATTTCTTAAACTCGGAATCCTTAGTTAAGTGTAATTTGCTTAAGATTACATTTAAAGCAGAAAACGGCCTACGCGACACAAACCCTGTTCATATACCCACATAGACTATTCTTTTTCGTTAGCTCTATAGCTTACATGAGTTAATTGCGTGTTTACTTATTGATCTTAATGAAATATTCAGGTTAGTTAATAGATTTTAATATTAATTACGTCTGTGAGGCGTATATATAAAAGGAAATTTTTTCAAATGACACTAGTTCATGAAATTTACATCTGTAAAAAATGAAAGAGCTTTATATGGATATAAACATATTTAATATGAGGAATAAAATTTCTAGTAGCTTTTATAATTTTGACAATAAATACATTTCTTTTCCCTTTTGTTATGATATTATCAAAATTATCACGTGAAGTTCAAAATCTAAGACTTTTTTTAATTTACTCAAATGGATAGTTTATTATTTCTGCAGACAAAATACATATAAGCATTGGTACAGCTCACTACTAATTGTACCATAGTGTTTGCATACATACTTAAAAGCGTGTACCTTCAATTATGTATGTATGTGAGCAGAGCCAGCTAGTTTGGGTAGCTCGCGTAGAAAGAATTGTATTATGGAGCCGAGCCTCCAAACAGCTAGTTTCGGTGCCTCGCTCTTTTTACTCGCTCGCGCTCGCTCGTCTGCTCGCTCGTCCGCTCGCAGCTAGCGCTGGGGCCTCGGCCGCTCTAGCCCGGCTGCTATAGATACAATGGAGCGAGGCAGCGGCAGTCTGTGTCTATGCTTAGACCTCGATAGTTGGGAGCGGCAAGTAGTGCATGTCAACGTGGTCGCACAAACAAAATTCCAAGATCGACTTCATCGGCGACGACTGACTTCGGCCCCCTTCAATTAACTGCAATAAAACCTTGCACTCTCTGACTGTGAGGGCGAGAGAGTGGGCATGTGTGCGTGAAACAGCTGTTGACGAATTATTGAATACTGCTTCGGCCTTCGTCGATTTTCGAGTTGTAAAATCACAACGGTAATAACTGAAAACAAACATCAGCTCATATTTGTGCGGATGTGTGTGTGCACTTAGGAATATTTGTATGCATTCAAAACATATGTATGTGCATGTGTACGTAAATATGTACAACTCGTAAATAATCATAAATGCATTTGAACTAATAACAATATGAAAAATAATATTATTTTGAATGTCGTGTTGTGCTTTAGAGTGATTAACATAATTTGACGGTCGCGCCATTTTTTTTATATATACACGACATCTCACATCAACACACGTACATACATGCATACACTTAAAAAAATTACGAAGTATTATATTTAGGAACAATAAGCGCTTGTGTTCAGAACAGAAACTTTTTGCTTACATACATACATACATACATACATACATACATACATACTTTCATACGTAAGCGTAATTATATCAACACTGATTCTAAAGTTGTTGAGGTTCAACAGTAAAACTCAGCATTTAGAGACCGAAATATCAAATGTATCATTGAATATCTACATTTGGTATATGTACGCAAATCGTACACACATGCATACTTGTACATACATACATACATATATATGTATATGCAAGGGAAACATACTTAAAACTACAATTTAAGACAAAAACCACGTTCGCGTGTAAATATGCAAAAAAACTATACTACTACATGCACATTGATTAATTACCGTAAAGAGGTATTTGTACGCTTATCAAATGATGAGGCTGGCGCGTGTTTCGCTTCCATGTATTTTCGTGCTGAATTCCAGCTTTTTTATGACCCACAGCATACTAAATGAATACCCTAAAATAGTAAACTAGTGACTATTGATAGGGAAGTGTGCTTTTATTTTGGCGACAGTTAATACGCCACACGTTTGGTTAGCTTACTGGAGGCCTCACTGTGTGCTCTTCGGCCGTACGCTCGATCAGCTGATACAAGTAGGAGAGGGGGACAGCGCGTTCATTGATTGAAGCAAAGTTTTGCAGCTGCCGTTCGTCGTTTCCTTCTTCGTGAATGTTATCAACAAAAGCTATTTGAAGTATGACTACGCGTAAGTATGTATGTATGTATGTATGTACGCATATAATATACAAACAGAGATGTGTATAGCTACTTGTATGTGTGTGTATTTGTTTGCTGCAAACGAATCGATACAATCCGTTCTAAGCACATATTATATTAATGGAATATTAAATTTTAAAGTTATTTCAATAGTTACTGTTTTAGCTGCTATATGTAATAAATAATAGGCAAAAAGGTGCAAAGAACTCTTACATATCTGTATGCATGCATGTATGATGCATGCACATTCGTAAGTGTTCAAGAGCATGCAGTCGTTTCAAAGTCCAGAGACTATTTGATTCGTGGTTATTTGTCGTTAACTGCGGAGCACTCATATGCATGTATGTATGTGTGTGCGTGTGTGTGGATATGTGTGCGTTATATACGGTTCTGTCATCAGCCAAAGTTTTTTGAGCGATATGTGCTAAAAAAAATAGCAAAAACAAAAACCAAAATAACGAGTAGAACGACAACAACAATAAAGCCGGCGTTGTTCTACGCTAAACAAAGAAAAAACACAAACAAATCAAGTGCCAAAAGTCAATGTGTGGAGACGTATATACATATATGCACATATGTATATGAGTATGTCCGTGTGTGTGTATAAAATAGAAATACAAGTTATATACATACGTATATGTATATATTTTGAATAAATATATATTTATTTAGAATGTCCTCCTGAAGGACTAAAATATGTAACATTGACAAGCTAAAAGACACACTGACAAACATATATACGCACACACATGCATACATGCTTATACATACATACAAATGTATACAAATTTTATACACAAAAATATATATACTCACATACATATGTGTGTAAATTGTTATTTATTTAGCGCTATTAGGAGAATGAGTTATATTGTATTCAAATTAAAGCTAGATGACTTAAGGGCATTTCTATTATATTGATTTTATATAAGGGTATTTATTATATACATATATGTATGTATAGTCAATGTATAACAGAAAAATAATGCATTTTGTTCTGTCATGCGATATCTGTAGGTATTAAATTTAAAACCAATACAAATGCTTCTGCGACACTGTGATTTGCTTGTGAAATGTATTTGAACGAAGAGGCTTTTGCTTCCACAATTGAGATCGACTTGCGTCATGCACATCATTGAGATTGTGGCTATCAATGAGCATCTGCTTTCTGATCGCTTTGTTCCAATTTCAATTTAGACGTCAATATAAATCAAATTTCGGTACATTATCAATGTTCATCACATTCTGCATCATTTTGTTGCGATAATGACAATGTATTTGAAGAATCAGGTCACTGATCGCTTGACTTGTCTAAGGGTTACGCCTAATTGTACCCTAAACCCACTGAAAATGGGAAATCAGGGTATACTGCTTTTGTTGAAATGTATGTAACAGGCAGAGGGAGGTGTGGAAGACCCCACAAAGTATATATATTCTTGATCAGGGCGACAAGCTAAGTCAATTTGACCCTGTCCGGCTGTCTGTTCGTCCGTCCGTCCGTATGTATGAACGCGTCGATCTTAGAAGATATAAGATATATCACGCGCATATCGAGTTTTTCGCTATATATCGATAACTACTCCCGATATTTTATTATCGATTAAAAACCTTATCAAAAGCTAGTTATTTAATTATATTATATATACACCTTTAGAGCTAGAGCTTGAAAATTTTAAATGTAGGCTTATATGAATTTGATATAATTTTTGGTTATTTTTGTTTTTGTTGTAATTTACCCCCCACCCCTATATCCACCCCCTCTCCCGCACCTTTGTAAAAGGCGTATTTCAAGTACTAGGGACTTGTGCTTTGGAATGTACATACATTTTCACCATATGATTACGCTCTGAAAGTTTCATTAAAATTGTACGTCTAGAAATTAAATTATTCAACAAATAAATTCTTATAATGTTGCCCACACTGCAGCGCAGCCCAAGCGCAATCGCTGCTTACTGCGCAGTTAGGAGAGCGCGTTCGAATACGTGCGTGTGTATGTATGTGTGCCGAAAAGAAGTGCACAGTGATTAGAATATCAAATTAGAGGGTTCAGGGTATCTCCTAGTCGAGCAGTCTCGACTTGAGTCTTCTTACTTGTTTTACATGTGAAATTCAGCTATTGTTTGACTGCTTGCTATATTAAATGTTCGTAGCAAGTAAATTTCGGATTTCTTCAAACTTTATCAAGCTACTATTAAGCAATAAGCTGATCAGTTAATGGAGTTGCAGTCCTACAGTTAGCCAAATATAGAAAAACTTGTTTGAATTAAAAAATACATTAATAAAAAAAAATGAAACTGGATTTACTGACTTGACTGGTTTTTAGATTCGGCCTATTTGCATATACATAAAATGTGCTTGCTGTCTCCTGTCGCTACCAAAGGATCTATCTAGAATCTAAGCGGTTATTTACAATATTTTACTACTGCAGCGAAACAGATACATCGAGTACATATTTACATATCAGCAGATGAAAATTGAACGTGGTAATTCACTAAAACCTATTAGCTCTGTATAGCTATAGAACTTGCAGGTGCTTTACTGTTAGCATGTGCTACAAATCTGCAATTAACGCTCATTAAGTAGTGTGGAAAATGGTAAATTATTAATAGCGTTTAGTGAAATTCCAAAACGAAAATTTATTTTGTTATAGACCTGCGTAACATAAAAATCTCCAGTTGTGTCGACTATTGTGTAGTCGGTACTGCCAGACCTTAGAGTTTTGATTCGCTCGCTTTGTCGAAATTAGACTGACTCTACAAATTGGTGATTAATTAATTAAATTTTACTTTAAAACTCATTTAATATTTTACTAGGAAGCTATTGACTTTCGTCGAGGAATTTTGGTGTGAGTCATCATAAATTATTCGTTTTTGGCCTATTATTGCACCTGTCAGTATTCTACGGTTGCCTAGACCTTGACACAGCTATTGACTACCGTCAGCAAGCAAAACAAAATCAATGGTGGGCTGGCGTCACGTGAATGTAAATTCGGGATACCAAACGTAAAGTAGGGTGGACCTTATACGCGCTACGCGCCACGTACTTGTAAATTATATATTTTACACGTACATATAATTGCAGTCTAAATATAGAACGACACTACATATAAACATTTCTAGGTGATCTAGGTGACCTGTGCATGTTGTCATGTTTTTCAATTAGATTCAGTACGAGTCCAGAATACTAATTCGATTCAGTCGTACTTCATATAGTTTTCACTTGTGTTTTCATGAAATCAAATTCATTGAAGGTTATTGCACTATACATTCACTGAATAACAATTACAAGTTGTTTATAATCTGGTTATATAGTAAACTCTGGGTATTAATCGATTTTTATTGTGTGTTTCCTTTCAGATTAAGCAAACAAAAATATTTTGAAATTGTGAAATGACTGGATCAGGTGAGTATACCCTACCATGCCTACGGTAAATTAAATATATAAATAAAAGGTTATCAGGACATGGACTTTGGTTTTTATTCTTAATCTTCAGGATTTGTGTATATTAGGGATTGAACCTAATGTTTGCTTTTATACTAAACAACTATCAAATTGTTTTTGCAGTCCACGATCCTAAATGGAGCCTGGAGCGACGCGAATCGTCGGGACATTTGGTGTGGCGTAAGGAGTCACCATCATCAAAGGTTCGATTTCGATTCGATGTGGAGGTTTTGGAATTTGAAAAACATCCAAACGAAGACCTTGATCACAAAGACGATAACTTCTCGGCCACAAACCTATCCACAACAATTGCTCTCTGTGCCACGTGTATTGCCGTTGTAGCTGCCTCCGTATTCCTGCCCTGGTACCTCATGGATAAGGTCGGCACGATTTGAGAGCAGATCATTAGTATATATTACGTATCCATAGTCATATGTATGTGAATTGTAAATCATCGACGGTATTAAGTAGCTTTATGTACATAGAAAGGCGTAGATTTAAGTAATGTTACAATCTGTAAATACGAATGTAAATAATGCATATATGTTTATAGACTCAAATCTAAGGCTTTAGTGGCGAATAATTAAACAGACTGTTTTCGATTAAACAAAAGGTTTTCTATTTTTAATTACATGAGTACAAACAAGCAATGTTCAATAATAATAAACTAAGCGCATCTGTCGAGCATTACTATTTACCTACTTAATCGCCGCAATTGGTGTTGTTGCCAAATTGCGGTGCTGTGATAAATTGTATATGAGATAAGAATAAACTTTTGATATATTGATCGAAACTCAGCAAATTCAGACGGACGTCTGAACTGATTTATTAAAACTATTCGTTGTCATTTTATTATATATGTAAGCATGTGTACGTATGTCACAATGTTCAACCAAAAGTAATTCTATATAAATTTAATATCTCTGCAAATTTGTCAACTAGATTTAAATCTAGCTCAGTGAATTGAAAATGGAAATCAATCTATAATGTTATTGCATTGTCTGGTCTGGTCAAATATATACGTATGTATATATATATTCTTGATCTAAGTATATCTTATCTTTTGGTATATCTTATCCTGTCTGCATATATATGGGTCGGATTAGATGCAATATGTTTGGCGGCCACCAATTACCCTGCTTCATGATCAGCACCTAAAACCAACTATGAGCTATGGCGGTGGCAGTGTAATGGTTGGGCCTGCATGGCGTCCTCGGGAGTTGGAAACTTAGTTTCCATAGATGGTAATATGAACAAGTATATTACCTATCCTTTTCAAATGAGAATTCAGTCCATAATTCCGAAGAACTTGGTCTAGAGGGGTATTGTCCAGTTCTGGTTGATCTGGAACTGTCTAAATGCGGCGGATCCTAAACGATTTGTTTGTAAATTTGTGGTCGAAATTGGGCAGGGCCATTCAGAAAAGGGTGTATCCAATAAAAATGACCTCAAAACGGCCCTATTGGATGAATGGCCAAAAATCTCCAACGAAGCCACCCGAAAATTGTTAAACTCGATGGTATTATGCTTAAAACTGGTGGTTAAACAAAAAGTAGAAAAGAATTTTTGGGCAATAAAATCATTGAAAGTGAAGTGCACGAAATAAGATGCGACATGGAAAAGGGCAGTTATTTTAGTTTGAAATGTTATTTGCTAGAACGAAAAAATTATTAAGTGCGTTAATACATAATAAATGACTGATAAATATGACCCCATCTAAATATGTTTCATAACTTTACTGGTTTAGTGGGAATACGGCTTTAAAATTGTACTATATCGCTGCAAAAAATAAGCTGTGAGCCATTGTATTTCTCGAAGGCGTGGTGATCTCGTAAGAGCATGGGCTGCAGTGTGGGCTTATTATGGAAGCTTAATTGTTTAATAACTTTTTTGTAGATTGACTATTTTCGTGACACTTTCAAATCGTGATTATAAAGCAAAAGTCTCTGATATTTGAAGTACGCCTCTTGCAAATTTTTTATAGGAGGTTGGATATGGGTATGGGGGGTTATAACGCACATCGAAATTCTATAAAATACATATAAATTTTCATTTAAATTTTAAGACTATAGCTTTAAAGATCTAGGAGAAAGAATTTTCTAACCGATTTTCGATAAGGCTTTTAGTAAAGAGATAAAGAGTAGTTCTCGATTTTTGGAAAAGAACTTGGTCTGCGCGTGATATACCTTATTAAAAATTTAAAATCTCTAGCTCTTTTAAGATCGTCGCACTCAAACATACGCATGGGCGGATAGACGGACATTTCTAAATGAACTCAGTTCGCCCTGATCAAGAATATTTATACGAGTATGCAAATATTTTATGGGGCTTGCCACTCTTCCTTCTGCCCCTTTCATACATTTAACAAAGCCTGAGAGAGAAAGGTAGAGAGAGAGAGAGAGAGAGAGTGGGTTAATATACTTAGAAAATAAAATAATGAGACAGACTCTAAAAAGCGATTGCGAAATTTCTGATTCTTAACATCCAACATCCTAGGAAGAAAATAGTGCGATATACCGATATATATACCCTTTCCGTAATCTAGTAGAGATGGATAAATAATCAAATAATATTTGTCCCATGTGGTATTCCCCTATGAAATCGTCCTATTATTTTGTAAAATCTCGACTATGCACTAATTCAATTCAATTCTTCCCATAATAAATGTTTATCAAATACAATCAACGGTAGCACCTTAAAGTGCATAGAATCTCTCGAGGAAATTCACAATAAAACGTTATAAGTTATTAGGTCTTTTTGGTCTCTGCTTCATCCCTCTCTGATCGACCGTTCGGACTGACTGGGCCATTTTGCAATGCATTCAACCCCACAGCGGGGGAATGTGTCTTATAGGTTGTGCGCAGCATCCGCAGCGTTGTTTGATGGTGGATGATTCATTTCGGGCTCTTTATTGAATTCCCACCATTTTACGAACATGCTAAAAGGTATATGGGCGTCTAATTAAATTTTTGTGCAGTCAAGCCATTGGGCATAAACAGCTAAAATGGCGGAACGGCACGACGTTCATAAAATTAATGAGCAACCCTAAATAATCCGAGCTCCAGATAATCGGATAACAACTATTCGCTAAAAACAAATAAGGTTTTTTTCTTTTTTTTTTCATTTTTTTTTTTTTAATTTGAGGCAAGCATGCATTTAAGATTAGTAGATTACGATACATGCAAACATGGACTACGATTAAACATTTGAATATATAAAGTATAAATAAGTGTTTTTAAAATTATTTACTATAAAACCATAGATGTAACTATGCATTAAATGTTGAAAAGCAGCCAGTAAACAAATCACGTAACTCTGAGCTTCGTTATTATATCTCTGAAGGGTAAGCGAAAGGTATCCTATCAATAATAAGTCAAAACCTAACAGCTACTCACTGTTTAAAACAATCGTATTTATAACTGAAATCTATATTTTCCGAATTATCACACCTTATGGGTAGGCCATATATCTTATCTGCCTATCTGTGTATGAGGTAAACACTTATCCGATTCCCGTTTGACGCGGACAACCGACATAGACCATAATATATACAAGTTTTGATAAACCAATAGCAAACGTCAAGTTTTGGGTAGAAGCCCAAATAATAGAAATTAGTATAACTGAAGAAGAAATACAGTTTTTCCCGATTGGTCCCGATTCAATAGACGTATATATTGTATATAAATACTAAGGCGTATAACTATCATTTTAGGGCTCTGATGACTGTTAATCGTGATAAAAGCATTGGATTCGCATTTATAATTTAATATACAATTGTTAGTCAGTTTTAAAGCACTAAAATATTTATATTTGTATAAATTGCTATATCTCTAGACACTTTGATATATATTGCAGATCGATGCCGATCTAGAGTTTTTTATTATTAGCTCCAAAGGCACCTTAAATATTATAGTTAATGCTTGCTTCCCAATTTTTAATTGTAGCACAAATATACATTCAATCCATTAGATTCAAGAGCCAAGAAAAAATGATTAAAAACCCGTATACTATTTTATTTGTGAACAAGAGTAAAAAGCTAAGACCCCTAGTTTAAACTGATATTAGTTTTAATACTGTTGAATATAAATTGAACTCAATATTAATATCATAATATAGGCTGGCAGTAATCTGAAGGACTTACACATACGTTGGTGTGTTCAGGTAGTCGCAATAAAATTAAATGCTCTTATTGAACAATTCAAGACTATTGGTCTAATATATCTCTTTCGCCGAGTTAATTTTGGTTTTATATCTACGTACGTCAAGAGCCCAATTGATTTTCATAATTGGCATAGCCACAATATGAGTCAAGTTTTTGATAAGCGCGCGGTTCAAGCGATTCGTACTGTGAAGATTCCTCTGTCATCTAACCGATCTGAGAGTTAGAGAGACCGAGTGATAGAGCGAGGAGATAGAGAAGGGGAGATGGCGGGAGAGGGAGCGAGAGATAGAGAGAGAGAGAGAGAGGCAATATTGAAGAGCGATAATAGCTTTAAGTAAGATAAGATGTATATTTCTGTAGGTCCACTGTGTGTGAGTGTGTATGTGCATGTGTGTGTGTGCATGTGTATGAGCAATTTCTCTGCCCAGTTAGTTGCTGCATTCGCTTTGCGTTCTTTGTTTGTATTATTGCCTTATTTCTGTACGATCGCTCTGCTCCCCATAAACATAAGCAGTACCAGTTGATGTGAATCAGTTTGTTGTTCGCGGCAGACAAGAGCACACGAAGGCATCGCGAGACTCGGCATTCCACATTCGCACTTGACCCAGTAACGGTGACGTAGACAACGACAAAGACGAGTGTGAAGAGGGAGACTGACAAGGAGAGGGACATCCAGTAACTGTGACGCAGTAACCGAAGGTAGAAGGTAGAAGGTAGAAGGACTAGGAAAAGGAGACCGTGTAACTGTGACGTAGACTACAGTGAAGGCGAGTGCGAAGAGCGCGACTAGGAAGAAGGCGAGACAGATAGAGTGTAGTGCATTAGGCCCAGCTGTGCCGAGATCTTCATAGGAACGGACTGGTGAGTGCAGAGCTTTAGCTGTGACAGGCCATTCTAGTCAGTGCTCGATCGCTATGGCTACTGACGCTGGTATTCCCTCAGCGAGTGGTCGGTCACGTGCTTCGTCGTGTATGCTTTGCGCTTTACGTTTCACGCTTTAAACAGCTGATTGAGAATAGGCAGAAAGTAAAAACAAAACACAACGGCGATTGTTGACAAACTTGAAAAATATATTGTGTATAGAACCAGTTTGTTCATTGGCCATGTGTGATTGGATCGAAGGTCGATAGCCCCAGCGATGTTAATATTCAGAATTTATTGTATAATTTTCAGCCAAACGTGTCTGCAAGATGAGTAAAATGCCGGAGACGACATTTGCCGACCTGAGCTTGGCCGATAAGGTAAGTAAATTGTCTATCCAATTTGCTGGTTCCTCACCTCAACCCATTAAAGTATGCAAAATTTAAAGTCCTGATAATCAAATATTTGGCAAATGAAACTATCGAATAGCACATTTGTATAAATGTGCATGTGTGTGTGTGAGTGGCAATAGAAAAAACAAGTGAGAGCGAGTGCATCCGACTGCACCATACCCAGTGTTAGACTGTTGTATAGATTTTCGCTATATGAGGGCACTTGTAATTGGCATGTGCATGTTTGTATACACTTTAATCAGTTCTATATGTAAACTAAGAAACCATTTCGTTTCCTGTGCAATAATTTACTTCGCTTTGTGCGGATGAATATTATCTTGAAGCCAATATGCCAGGTTTCCCATTGTGAACAGGGCATTAAATGATATAAAGAACAAGCTCTACATGTATATGGATTGATGATGTATTTACAAACACATGCACACACACACGTATGTACATATGGTATATCTATAGACACAAGCAGTTGTGCAGGTGTGCGTCGATATGTGATCTAGATGTGAGTGCGAATGTGTCGAATGTTTATTGAAGTCGGCTATGGAAATGTACACAAGTTAGTTAGCAAATGGGCTGGGATACAAATGCAAAGCACACATTTGCTGAATTGATTAATTTGTTCGTTTACTTAAATATTGGCATGTGATGTCTTGAAGACGCGATTACACAGCGTCAATTGGCGCTACGAATTATCATCGATACTCTAAACGATGCCAATTACCACCAGCTGTGAGCTGTTGCTCTGCTTTTTCTGCGATTTGTTTTTGTGGTACCCGTAGATTACACTAAATTTAATCAAATTCCTATTAAAGACTGCATACGTAACACTAACGATTCCCTTCCCACCACCAGACACCAGTCAGTAAATCGAGGATTGAAGCTCGTCGATTTTCCGATGTATCCACGTGTTCCTTTAGTTCAGGTGAGTTCTAGATAATGAAAGGTTGAAGCGATCTAATTGTGGTTCCCCGTTTCTAGCCTGCTTCACTGGCAGCTCCGATGAGGACGAGATCTCGCCGAAAGATGCCAAGCAGAGTAACTCAAGCGGCAGCTCTGACTTCTGCGTCAAAAATATTGGCAAGGCATCCTTCGGGCGCCGGGAGATCGAGATCGCTGAGCAGGAGATGCCGGGAATCATGACATTACGCAAACGTGCGACCGACGACAAACCGCTGAAGAACGCAAAGATTGTGGGTTGCACCCACGTCAATGCCCAAACGGCGGTTCTCATCGAGACTCTGATTCAACTGGGTGCATCCGTTCGCTGGGCAGCGTGCAACATCTTCTCGACCCAAAATGCCGTGGCAGCGGCACTAGCGGAGGTCGGGGTGCCCATCTTTGCGTGGCGCGGCGAGACTGAAGAGGAGTTCTGGTGGTGCCTGGACAAGTGCATCCACAAAGAAGGCTGGCAGCCGAACATGATCCTCGACGATGGCGGCGATGCTACGCATCTGATGCTTAAGAAGTACCCGGACTATTTCAAGTCCATCAAGGGCATTGTTGAGGAGAGCTTGACAGGTGTGCACAGGCTGTACCAGGTGAGTGTAACCATCCATACATCGCATACTCGCCCACCTATTGAACCCGATATCCCCCGTGTTTCAGATGTCGAAGGCGGGCAAGCTGACTGTGCCAGCGATCAATGTCAATGACTCGGTAACGAAAAACAAGTTCGATACGTACTACACATGCCGCGACTCCATACTGGACAGGTAAATAGTAGACAGGCTGTGAAATCATTTAATCCATCCCATTTCTAATTAGCTTGAAGCGTACGACGGACATTATGTTTGGCGGAAAGCAGATTGTGGTCTGCGGCTACGGGGATGTGGGCAAAGGCTGCGCCGAGGCCCTTCGGGGGCAGGGCTGTGTGGTATACATCACAGAGGTGGATCCGATATGCGCACTGCAAGCGGCCATGAACGGTTATCGAGTGGTGCGCTTGGGCGAGGTCATACGGACGGTGGATGTGGTGATAACCGCAACCGGCAACAAGCATGTTGTCACACGGGATCACATGAATCGCATGAAGAACGGGTGCATCGTCTGCAACATGGGCCATTCGTGCTCCGAAATAGACGTGAGCAGCCTGCACACGCCGGAGTTGACCTGGCAGCGAGTGCGCTCCCAGGTGGATCACATTATTTGGCCTGATGGCAAGATGATCATTCTCCTGGCCGAAGGACGTTTGGTAAATCTGTCCTGCTCCACCATCTCCTCCTTTGTCGTCTCGGTGGCCTCGTCCACACAGGCATTAGCTCTTATTGAGCTTTATTCAGCGCCCGGGCGATACAAGTCGGACGTCTACCTACTGCCAAAAAAAATGGGTAACTATTCCTTTTGATAGTTGTATAACAATTGATGTATCTCTATTTGGTGTTGCCCATTCTCAGATGAATATGTGGCTAGTCTGCATTTGTCGACTTTTGATGCCCATCTGACGGAGTTAACCGACTCACAGGCGAAATTCTTGGGCTTGAGCAAAGCAGGGCCCTTTAAGGCGAACTATTACAGGTAAGCACATATCCAACAACAGAAAACTGTAATAATGTTTCTCTCTTTTGATCATAGATACTGATCAAGTGGTTGACGCTCTGCTGGCGGTTGAAATCTAAGTTTATATTACGTTTGCTGGATGAACTGGATTTATGATGACCTGGTGTTATTAATAAGCAACTTAGTCTATTTATGAGTTAATAAAAGTTATTATTTGTTTGATTTGATTTGATATGTATAAACATATATATATGTACATATATATAAATATAAATCTTTAAGTGCGGATAGTGTTTAAAGATTTTTGCTTAGCCAAAATGCCATTTATTAAATATTTGAGTTTGTTGAGTTTTGTTTTCACCACAATATTGAGAGTTTCATAGCGGGCAGCTCTTAACAGACTGCAACTAGTCGATGGCTCAAGTACTGGGTAAAAGTTGGCACAACACATCATAGATGGCGCTTTATATGGAAATTAAACACGCCCAGAGTGTATCAGTCCTTAGTTTCTAACAAACTTACTCCATAAAGAGGTTATAAATAACAGTTCCGCATGTCAGGTAAATTTGCACCTAGTGTTTATTAAGTTATATGCTTAAAAAACTTATTTGAACTATGCTATTTCTTTTATTTTTCGTTATCTTTATTTGAATTAATTAAGTTTTTTGCGATTCGGCGTGCCCTTAATGTGATGTTTTTAATGGAAGTCAAAAGTTGCATATTTTCAAAAATTGATGCGCCTAGCATCCAAACTTTAGATGCGGAAAAAGACATCAATGTCCTGAAACTCTTTCAGAAAAAAATTGTTTTATGTACAGATGTTTTGGTGTACGCCGGACTGTCGGTTTACGCATCTGTCCATCTGTTTGCTACTAATAGCCTTTACCATATAATACGATTTACTATATGCGAAGTTATTGTATATTCACTTTAGGCAAAATCCTTGTAGTAGCAAACCAACAATGCAAACCGACAGTGGTTTGTATAATTTATATTGATTTCCGCTCAGACTTAGTAACTTGCTGTTTGCTAAAGTAAATATTTTCAATGCAGTCAGAGAAAGTACCAATGTGTTGCAAGGAAAGCATTATAAATTACATTATCCAAATACATTTAAAAAGTAAAGTAAGTGAATAATACTGATAAAAACAAATTTCGAGGCACCTTCAGCTGAGCTTTGCGCCGGGGTATAGATCGGCCACTAGGGGTCAGGCTTGTCGTGCATATAGGATCTCTTCCAATAGGACATCATTGCCATTAAAACGGGTTGGTGCATGCGCGGGCCGACCAGGGGATTCATTTGCATTACGAAGGTGACGAGCCAAACGATCCAGCAGCAGGCGGCCGTCAGCAGAACGCAGCATCGTATGATCGAGCGCTCCTTGAAGCGAATGGCGACGATGCACCCAATGATGGCGAACAGGGCCCAGAATACGGTGAATATTATAAGACTAAGGTATTTGTTCATTTCGACAGTGAGTGAGTTTTGTGTTTGGAGTAGAGAAAGTTTTTGACAAGTTTCTCCCTCTCTCTGTCTTTCTCTCTCGCTCTCGTCCCGAGCGAATGCGCGAATCAAATGCTCCTTTCCGATGCCAAAATATTCGCTTAAAACTTCGCTATGGCGCAAACCCAATTTGGGTGCTTGGGCCCATAAAGTTTTATGGCTGCGAGCATTTATTCGTTTTATGGCCGACCGCGACGGGCTGAAGACGGCAGACGTGCGTTGGAGCGTAAAAGTTATAAAAATGAAAATTGTATACATTTTCCCAAGTGGCAGCATCAATAAAACTGCAGTCGAGCTCGAGTGTGCGTCTGTGTATCATTTTGGCATACTCACAGGCTTACAGGCTCACAGGCTAACAGCCTCACATCTTCGCATCTTCACATCCTGACTAAGCACAAAATCCGTTTCAGCTCAGGGGAACCTGATGAACAGTCGGCTGCCAGCATGGGTCCAGGATTCAGGCCAGCCGCGCCATGTGCTGCCACCGCTCCGATGATGCCATAAGTGCCCAGGCGTGGCCCATAAAATGGCGGCTGCGCATTGGCATTAGAGTCGAAGTCCGTCGGTCCAGTGTGGGCTGCTGGCTACCCTCTACCCTCTATCCTGTGCCGTCTGTCCGCTGTCCGCTTTCGTCTGTAATCGAGTTTTTCCAAAGTAGCAATAAATGTTTATGGCGACATCGAATTTTCCATTTTCTCCCCATAAGTACGGGAACGGCCGGTGCAGGCCTCTCTCCAACCCCAAAGCCAGAAACCATTTCGCAAATGGTGGAGTGCTCGAAGTGCTGCAGCCATCTTAAAAGCCATTTCGGATCAGCCCTCAATGTAGAAGTATGGCTGTTCCCTTGATCAACTCAGATCTTCACAGAAATCAATCAATATCAATGCGGAAAATTCAAATTCACTTTTCAGCACTTGCGATATAGTCTAAGCTAAAGTTCACCAGCTCAGTTCAGTCTCTGTAGGCATCCGATGGGGTTGACGTCTAGGATCGATTGGCTGTCATAAATCACAGTTCCCATGGCCAAGACGAGGCCTCGCACGTTCTTCGAGTCGCAAGCAAATGCAAAACAGGCGTGAAGTGCGAGTTCGGCCTTAAACATTACCGTTGGTGGCGGCAACAAAAAAGGAAATCGTCGCTCCCGATTCCGACGGCAACGGGAAAGGCAAACGCAAAGGCAGGGCAACGCCACTCCCATCTGTTCTGGTTTGAAACTCCTTTTGTTTGACATGGCACAGAGTCTAAATATTTGACTCTAATTGCCACATTTATTGTTAATCTCTCAAACACGCTTCGAGTCTTATGCAAATACTTTTTTCGAAATAAGTCTTTTTAGCTAACCTAATTAGGAGTTCGGCTCTTGTGGTCCTTGAACCTGCGAAACTTCATTTATTGGAACTGGTATTTGTTAACTTCCAAAAATGATAGATATTGCACATCTAGACTTCTACGGCTTTTAGACATATGTATGTACATATATATGTGGTGGGACAATAGAAATCACACTAGTGGAAATAAGTATAATTATGGCAAATTTTTGCAAATGTGAGTTGAACAAACGAGGAATAGGAATCGACAAACCATGACTCTTAGACCATGCCAAAATCGGGGATTGTGATTTGATTGAAGTTGCATACTAAAAAGTGAGAATCAGATATTCTGTTTAAATCAGGTCAACTGATCCAGAAGAAACAATCTGATGTTCCTGTTCGATCGGACGACTTTTATGGGGAACTCGTCAATGAGTATATTCGAGTATTGCAGGCCTTGAGGAGAATATTCACCAGGAATGCTAAACCCTATCAACATAATTTTCTCAATTTGATTTAAAAGAAATTTAAGTGGATTAGAAAAACTTAACCGGGCGATAACTTTTACTCCACCCTGTATCATCATCAGGTTTAATTGACTTTGACTATTATTTGGTCGTTTTTATCCGTTCATAGCTTCCCAAGAGCTTGAAGTTTTAGTTCTTAACTTTTTCAACAGATCATGCATAGCTGAATGTATGATCCATTGAAGGTCCCATGAACACCTGAACAACTCAGGAGAAGTTGGTAGGCGATTGAAATTAAGGATCAAACAAAACCATTTGCTTAAGTCAAAAGAACGAGATGAGTTGATCGATCTGTGTGTCTTCGTCTTTATCTGCGGTTTGTCTGTTATTCACAATAGCGAAAGACTCCAAATGTCTGTTGTGCAGAACTAACGAAGTTTATTATATTTCTTGTGATAACTTTTATATCCTGAACCCATTGAAAATGGTAAATCAATGTATAATGGTTTTGTTGAAATGTATGTAACAGGCAGAAGGAGGCGTGGCAGACCCCACAAATTTATATTCCTCATCAGGGCGATGAGCTGAGTCGATTTAGTCCTGTCAGTCTATCTGTCCGTCCGTCTGTTTGTATTTATGTTTGAACGCGTCGATTTCAGAAAATATAAGAGCTAAAGATTAGAATTTTTTTTTCAAATGTTCGTGTATATAGCGTGCATATCGAGCTTATCTTTAAAAATAAATAACTCATTCCGTATTTTTTTTATCGAATAAAACAATTTCGAAAATAAGCTATTTCATTATATCTCCAATATCTTTATAGCTAAAGTCGCCAAATTTTATATGTAAATTCATATGTATTTGATAGAATTTCGATTTTTGTTATAAACCACCATCCGCCCCTTCACCACTAAATTTGTAAAAACCGTATTTCAAAGAGCCTTGAGCTTTGGCAAATGCACGCATTTTAATGATACAATCAGACTATAAAAGTTTCATGAAGAAAGTACATCCACAAGAAGGGTTATCATACAATTAAGTTCCCAGCCCATGCGTGCTTATGCGTGCGTGCCTATATGTGTCTGTGAGTGTGTGTGTATGTATTTCATGTGTAAGATAGATGCAAAGAATTATTAAAATATCAGTTGCTCGAAGGGTTCAGGGGATCTCGTAGTCGAGCAGCCTCTACTACAGCTGTCTTACTTGTTTTCTCAATTCTCATTTTCAATGGTTGCTGGGTAAAAGTGTAGGCTGAAGGATACGTCGTAAACTACATTCAATATATATGTATATTCGTGAACAGGACAGCTGGAAGAATACAAGTATTTTCACGTGCTTTTGCCAATTGGGAAATATTTTAATTAATAAACTCTCTAATCAGATTATATTATCTACTTATTCTATTGTGTATTTATCAATTTATTGAAATATATCTAAGAGATCAAAGATTAGTTCTATTCCGACTATCGCCAGAAACACATTAATATAACTTTTCGCTGACTTTTATTTATAGAACATTTATTAATAGAAAACGATGATAATAAATATTGTGGATTATTTTCAAAAAGGAGAATACACTGCATTTCTTGTTTCTTGTTGCAGTAGAGATGCGCACATGCAATGTGACTTTGCGTGTTTGAATTAGCGGTGCGACAATGGGCCAGCACGCGTTGTTTGCCACATCAATTAGCGGTGTTAGCACCACTGAAGGAAGTGCTTGGCGCGGCACTATTAGAGGCAGCAGCACAGATTACAGGTAAATAGGGGCCAGCGCTCGCGCTTGGGTCGATGGCGCTTTGCCGTCTGTAAAGGTGTCAAGCGAAAGCCTCTCGGCCCAGCCTTGCCGCTTGCTCAGTTGGAGCTCTGTCAGCTGGCGCTGGGGCAAATATCAGATCTCTGGACACCAGGCCTTTGTTGGAATAGTTTCGGTCATGCTCACTGGAGCGACTTAAATTAAATGTGCCTAGAATCTATGTACTACAATGTGTTCTGATAAGAATACGAATTCTATGGGCTATAATTATTACAAAGTCAATGGAGGATCCAGTAAGTTAGCTAACTTTTGATGATCCATTCCGTTTTTCTGTATTCCAGATTCGAAGTGTTTAGATTCAATTGCAAGTAAAGTCAGTTTTAGCGATATGCATCAGATTAGAGTCATGTTTAATAATTGTTTTGGTTCTTTTGTAGTTTTATTTCGTGATTGAGTTTGATGATGTCGCTGTACTTCCCAATAATATATTTAGTAGTGTTGAAATATGTACCTATTATATGTATGGGTATAAATTTAGTGAATTAAGTAAAAAATCATATACAGCTTTCCATATGAAACAATCAGACAATCGGTGCATTAGTCAGATCCGCATATTTCTGGCATTGCCATAATACTCTCTATACTACTCTCTGTCCTTGCACTCAAATCTTAACTGATTTTTACGTTACGTAGAACTTAAAATACTGGAGTAACGCATATTTTAAGATTAAGCTTGATGGGTTTTATGCATGCACTTCGAGCTTCTAGACCCTGGTATTAAAATCTGCTATTTAAATTGAGTTTAAAATGAGAAGAATTTTTATTGGGTCTGATAAAGAATATCTCCAGTCATTAACATTAACTTTACATTGAATCTTCATTATTGTAAATTTTGTTGCTTCAATTAATATTTGATAAAGTTATTACTTACTTGTCATTTGATAATAGATTACACAATTCATAATCATATCATATCATTATTCGGCCACTACAGGTAATAAGTGTTTTAGAGACGATTACATTTCGTAACTGGTGGGGTGAAAGTGAACCAATTGCTAATATATATTAAATATATTATTTGTCTTATTTATTTAATTTTGTGCGCCTGGATTTAAGGAAAACTTTTTTTCGGATACTATTTCTGTGAGGCTTAGTTGTCAGGGGAGAAATATGTTACAAAGTAAGTATGTTGTAGATATAGATATATGTATAAATGCACATACAGACATACAGACTGAAGCGGAGTTTGCGCACTGTTTAGGGCACCAATCAATCGGCATTGATTTTCAACGGGCCAGCGGCTGCCAGCACCGCGCGCTGCGAATCCTCGAGTCAGCATGGCGCAGTGCGCAGGAGCCGAGCCGAGTAGCGGGGCGAGGCACAAGGAAGCAGGACGCCCTGAACGGGGGTGGATTTCGGGGATGTCGCGAGTGCGAACTTATCTATCTGGAGCGACTTTGCAACCCCCAAATTGCCGATATAC